CATTTCCTTCCTCATTCCATGCCTCTCCTCCTTCCCCAATAGCAATCTTCCTTAATCTCTCTTCCCTCTTGTTTTTTTTTTTCAAATGCTTCAAAAGACCTTCTAGGAAACTCCTCTCCGCACCAAAAAAACAGACCTAAGCTCTTGCCCACCTTAACATCCCTATCAACCAAACATTTAATCTCCGCTTCCCCCCCTTCTCACCTACAATGGCTGAAGAAGACACAAGCGAGTTTTCCTCACTAGCTCGATCGCCCCTTTCCTTCTTATCCTCAGTCTTTGACCTCGGATCCAAACCTTCCTCAGAAGCCAACATCCTCTGCAGCTTCACTCCTAGATCTTGACCTTTAACTCCCCGAAGCTCAATAATCTTCATTTTCGAAACTTTACCTTTTGAACATACCTCAGTAGTATTCAAGTAAGCAATGATTTCTAAAACTCTTGATCGAGCCTCATCATTCTTCCTATTACCTATCATTGTTGATAGCTCCAACTTGCCAGTTTCACTTCCTCCTTAAGTTTGATCACTTTACTCCTCCGCCCTCCACCTCCACTAACATTATTATGCTTTGACTCTATGCCACTTCCAAAAAAGAATTTTGGCTTGGATCTGAAACCTCCAACCCTTGATTGAGGTTGTATTATTGCAATTTCACCTCCTCAGTAATCTCCAATAGTCCTTTCGTCTCAGCATTCAAATAGGCCTCACTCTCCACGGATCTTGAGCCAATCACAACAGATTCTTTTCCCCCTAACGTCACCGAACAATCTACCTGGTTGACACTACCACCTTCCTTGTCTTCAGCTTTTGCGATCTTCAAAACTTTACCCCACTAAAAATAAGATCCAGATATTGTCTCATAGGCGATGACGTGATCTGAATCACAGATAAACCTACCTAACCTTGGTTGATATTGCATTCTTGAGAGAACACACCTTCTTCAAGTGTTTCCTTGCCTCTTAGCTTCTAATCAACTATTTGTAAGGTGAACTTCCCAATTTGCCTTGCTTCGTCGCCGTTAAATGATATGACCTTTCAACCTCCCTCATATCTTACAACCAGCTAGATACAGCATTCGTTGTTTTCTTTTGACTTTTTACCTTCTCTCCATCTCTCTATTTTTTCCAACCATTTGGGTTCACCCTTATGTTACCCAAAAAACCTTTTAGCACTTGTAGCCACTTGCGTCAGTTCTAATTTTTAAAGCTCTTACTAAATTTCTTGAGTCGGTGGTCCCCACCGCTCTCTTCCTTCTTTTTAAAACCTACTAACATCTGTTTTTAAATTCCTTCCCTCCTTTCATTACCCGACCCTTGGTCTTCTACCTCCTTTAAATTATCCTCCTCCACATGGATATCTACCATCTATCCACTCAATCTCAAACCTTCCACATGACCCTCTCTTACTAAATCCCTTGCAACCTCATCCTCTTCTTCTTCTTCCTCTCCTCTCCTAGCCCAACTTTTTGGCTTCCTCCCTTCCTTTGTCTCCTCCACCCTGCCTCTTGAGAATTCCACATCTCTATCATCATCTCCCTTCCCCTCAATTCCTTCCTCTTCTCCTTTCTTCTGTTCTTCTGCCATTCCCTTCTCCTTTGCTCTTAAAATGCTTCATCTTCTCCATACACAATAACTCTCAACCCATAATATTTCCCTGCAAGGATGCAAAGTTAAGCACCATCCTATATGGAATGGCAAAGATGTCCTCCATACTCCATGCATGCAAAGGTATTCCAATCACCTCAATCCATGCTACCTATTTCCTTCTACCTCCAAGCACTTCCCCCGCCACCAAGAACCACCATTTGAGACGTAGATCAAGATCTCTCTTTCTTGATCTCTCGAACTTCAAAACCCACTCTACTGCTTGTCTACAATAAACATGAAAACCATCAACCACCTTTCAACTTCCTCGCCCCCAAAACCCTCTCTCTTACCCACTCTAGATTTGCCCGAGCTTCAACCTTTTCCATCTCCATTTCTCTCTCAACAACTCTTCCCACCAAACTAGCGTACAACACCCTCATTTTCTTTTGAAAAGTAAAATAAAAAGAGAATACAGAACAAATGTGATAAGATATCACCCAAGAGAGAAGAAGACTAACTGAGACTTTCAAAAAACATCAACCAACTTCAACACCCCCATTCTCTCCCGCAACTTACTAACCTTACTGACATCAACAAAAATTTCTGCTACCTCCCCCATTCTCTCCTAGAAACAGAGCCCTAGTGTTCCCTCATGCTTCATTTGCAACTACTCCAGATAACCAGGCTTTTTCCTTCCATACCTTAGTGCTCCCTTGGCTATGTTGCCACCTAGTTTGGAATTTGTTCTAGACCATTCTCTCTTGTAAATTTCTATAGCACCTTGCCCCTTTTCTTAGAAGCAGAAAAGAAAGAGGTAATGAACAAACTCTTTAAGTCGACCCATTAGAGCAGTCAATCCTACACCACTAGCCTTTGGGAGCCCTAAATAATTCATCGACCACTCACCACACACACTCCCCAAAGATGCTGCTCCTGACCTCAAGGTCCAAGGTTTCAATATGATACACATAATCATATTGTATCTTTTAGGTGTTGATACACCTATTTCAAGGGTTTATGAAGAAACCTTCTTTTAATAAATGATACACTTAAAAATAAGCCCAAACCCAAATTTTGAACAAAAAAGTTTAAAAAAATAGAGTGATGTTCAAGTACCAATATACCCCTTCCTCTGTATCAGGGTGTATCGATATTCTGAACCATGCTTAACCTTAGATCATCTTCCCCTCAGTTTACTCCTGAAATCTGCTTTCATTCTAGTTAATCGTCATATTGGACATTTTTTCAAATAACCTGACCACTAATTTTATATTCTCAATCCATTGTCTATTCTCCTCATCACAAAAATTAATGATATCGTTTGCAAATTGTAAAAGTGTAAACCTTTCACCACAATTTCATCTCTACCCACACTCCACCCCTTGATTAGCTGTACTCTTTCTGCCCTTGATATAAGTCTGCTCAAAGCATCAGCCACAAGAGTGAACAGAAAAGAGGATAAAGGATCACCTTGCCTCAAACCCCTAATGGCCCCATAGAAATCCTCGACAACTCCATTGACTATCATTGAATAGTGACAAGTTTTTAAACTACCAATCCATTTACACCACTTCTCCCCAAATCCACATCTCCTCAAGACTTAAAATAAAAAATTCCCAATACACAGAATCATAAGCTTTTTCCAAATCCAACATAACCAAAACACCTTTTCTCCCCAACCTTCTTTGTTCCTCAACACATTCATTTGCTATAAGAATCCGGCATGTTATTTTTCGTCCTTGAACATAGGCCCCTTGAAATCTAGTCTGTTATTTGTCTTCCTCCACTAGATTTAGTACTGTTACTAATAGTAACAAAAGACGACTAATGTTTTGGCATTTTATACTTGGTCATGTGTCATTTTTCTTATTTAAAGTGCTTATTCTTTATTTGTTTAGGTCTGGTTCTTTAGATTTTCAATGTTAAGTTTGTGGATTTGCTACAGACTGTTGTGTTTCCTATCCTTTAAGTACTAATAGAAGTTATGTTCCTTTTACTATTGTTCATTTTGATATTCGGGGTCCCATCCTATTTCAAATACTTCTCTCTTTGGACATTGTTATTATGTTTCTTTTATTGATGCTTGTATTTGTTGCACTTAGGTTTATTTGATGACATGTAAATATGAAGTTTATAATATATGAGAAAAGTATGATCAATACATATACAGTGCCCTGCTCAATAAGAAACTGCACAGGGACCAGCATGCTCTGTAACTATACTGTGTGCATAGATACAAAAAGATTACTAAGATAAGAGAGAGAGAGAGAGAGCTTTAAGATGTATTCTTGAACTGTTTGTGTACTGCTTCCCATGAGTATATTCTGCCTCATAATCCCTTCATTACTGTATCTTATGTACTATTTGTAGTAATTTTATATGCTGACATCCATAGCAAATAGCTAGCAATATTTGAAGAGGGCATTCATGTGGAGTTGGACAGAGGATAGAAACATAAACACTACCTAGATTGTTGGACAAAGTTGATAATATTATCCAGATTGTCAGATATGCTACACAGGGTGAATGTTGAGATCATTTCCAGTGAACTTAGCCTTAGCTAAATTTTCATTGCGCACAACTGGAGTTTAAGAGTCAAGGAATGGAACTGGATCTCATAGAAAACTTTGCCCCCACAGACTGAAAACTTAAAAGTTTGTATAGTCTAAAAATGTAATTCTCAAGTCTCAAAATCCAATGAAAATTAAGTTACAGAAGCATGGGGCACTTTGAAACAAGGACCATCAACATGAAACTAAGAAAATAGTATACGGACACCTCTAAGTGATTTGATATAAGGTCTGCCGTGTCATGCAAATAGGAATTGCACCACCAAAAATCAGGGTGAATGTTGGAACATAAAGTTTCTAAAGAATGGCGACCCTAATTCCAGATGCATCTATGAACCCCAAATGAATGGTACCGAGAAGCTAAAAATGGCACATTTCTCCCTTGGGTTGAACCGTTGAAGGAAAAAGAAAAGTTGTATAATGAGGCAACTCATTCACAAATGTGTATTGACTATAATTTGTGATCCAAATTTGTCTTGACTACAGTTTGGTCATTCAAAAAATATCACTTGTCACATAATTCAAGCAGAGTTTTGACCAATCTCATGAACCTATTTCAGAGAATTTTCGTATACAACAAGAATTACATGATCCAATTATATAATTTAAACATAAACAATAGCGTACACTTGGAAGGAAATCGCAAACCAATTTCTCTTTCTTCTATCATTGTAGCCACCGTATTGAGTAACAGAAGGGTGGATTAGAAAAATGACAAACCTTACCAGCTCAAGTGGGTTAAGGCTTCAAAATCGATTACAGAGAACACAAAATAAGAAGTAGAAAACAATATAAAGAAAAAGAGAGAAAGATAGAGGTGGATGACGATTGAATATGATATACCCCCGAGAAGGCCGATGCCGAAACCGAAACCACAGCCAGCGCCAAGGCCGAAAGCAGGGCCGAGTTTCCCCAGTTGCTTCGATTTCAATACCGGAAGCCTCCATAGAAGACCCTTCTCTCCATCGCCATACGGACCTTCACCGCTCATCTCTTCTTTCTTTCTGAGTTTCTTCACACTTCCACCCTCTACTTCTCCTTCCGTGCTGTTTTTGCCTCTCCTTTCCGGTGTTTGAGTGCTTCACTGATGGTCAGAGACTGAGAAGACCCGTGAAACGGTTTACTCTCTTAACTTGCCACGTGTTAAACAATCAGAGGATCAGGAGCTGCTAAAGGTAATCAGATCAGATGATCCAATGCCTTGATTTTCGGGCTATAGGTTTGACCAATTTCACTTTAACTCAAGTTAAGTATGCTTGAGTATTTTATATATAACGGGGAAAGAGAAAGATATGAAAGTGATTGGATATATGAGTGAAATTTATTTTCTTCTTGGTAAAATATAGGCCACGAAATAAAAAAAAAATAGTTAAATACTTTAATAATATTAAATTTGGGGTTGAAATATTTATGAATAAATTATAAATATATGATAAATGCACACTTTAATAGGTTATAGGAAGATAAATATTATAATTAACAATTTGGGGCTCTAGAATTTGTAAACATCATACAACAATTATCACTCTATTTCAGTTTTATAGTTATGATTTTCAATTTTTATTAATTTTTGTGAAATTTTATTTATTATTTAGTGTTTTTTATATATATAATAATTTATTTTTTCAAATAATAAATATACTTTCATTTTTAGCATATAATTATTTTATTTTATCTACATATAAATCATTTAAGGATAAAATAAATTACTTTATAATTTTTATATTTACTATTTTTTTGGAAAAACTAAATATTAAATCATTTGTTTTAGTTGTCATAATTATAATTTTCAATCTTTACTGATTTTGTTAGAAAATTTTATTTATTTAGTATTTATATATAAAAAGTAACTTATATTTTTTATTCAAATAACAATTGTGTTTTCATTTTTAACGTATAATTTATATGTAAAATAAGACATATAAATCATTTAAGGTAAATAAAATCAATTATTTTTATAGTTTTCAATTTTTATTACAATTTATGAAAAAATTAAATCTTAAATGTGATATTTGATTTTTATTATTATAACTTTACTTTAGTTTTTACAATTACAATTTCTTACTTTTATTAAAGTTCAAAAATAGTCCAAAGGTGGTCAATATACAAATTTGCCAAACCAAGTACCAATACGCTTCCATATTAGGCATATCATGCTCACACACACGACTTGTGGGATGCATACTCAATCACGATGTAACCACCAATACAACACAATATAATCCAATATGAAGGCATATATCAGGCTGATACACACGACTTGTGGGATGCATACTCAACCACGATGTATTCCATATCCAAGGCCATAGATGCTAGGGATGCAAACGGGTCGGATTGGATTCAAATAAGAGTACATTTGAATCTGATCCGAGACACTATAGATCCGATCTAACTCATAAATATTGATTCAAATTTGAATTCGATCAAAATGTCAGATGTCTGAATCTCAGTGTTTTCGAACTGCCATTGATCCGGACGATCGGACCATTCGGCCCGGGAATCGTCCAGGCAACCGGTTCCGTTTTTGCATAAACCCAGAATCTGGTCAAAACCCGTCAAAAAAGTCAACAAAACATTGACCCTGGCGGTTGAACCGTCGACCCGTTCAACGGTTTTTGACCATTTTTTTTATTTTTTAAATTTTCTTGTCAGAACGAACCATCCGTTCGAATCGGACGGTCGGGCTGTTGACCCGGAAACCAGTGGCCAAAACGGTTCTATTTTCGGGTTGTTTTTTAAAACATTGTTGAATCTGATTCGATATGATCTCATTTTTTAAAATAATAAATTATTAAAAGGAAAAGAAAATATAACAGTTTAAGTAAAGAAAACAAAAAGTACAAGTATTTTTTCAACTATTTTCATCATATATATACATGTTTTTATAAAAAAAAATAATATAAAAATTTATAAAAATGCAAAATAAATAAATTGCACATTATATATATAGGAGGTGAATAATATAAAAATTTATAAAAATGCAAAATAAATAAATTGCACATTATATATATAGGAGGTGATAGGGGTGATATATATTCGGATCTGATAGGGGTAATCTAAATATGATTTTCTAACCGAATCCGATTATCGAATTGATCCAACCCAAAAATCCAAAATGGGGGATCTTTGAATTTAACAAAATAGGATAAGACTTTGGATTGGATCAGATCATGATATGATCCATTTGCACCCATAATGGATACAAATACCATATGCCCTGTATCACGTGTAGGTAGGGTAAGGCTTGGTTGGGGAATGGTCTCTTTAAAAGATAGAGAGAGTCTAGTGAGTGTTAGGGATAAGGAATCTGGAAGTGAGGTGTGCTTGAGTACTGGGTGTTGGGTATCGAATGTCGAATGCTGAGTGAATCCTAATACGAGGAGTGATGTAGGGTGATTTGGTCCGATCTAATAATGAAGGGACACATGGACACGACCTAGCCGACAAGATTACAGCTCATCCCAAGTCTACCCAAGTCTTCGATGGACCAAGCTTTGATTCAGATAATCGAACCACCTCAGGACGGGCCCACCTCGAAAGCGAATCCACCTCGGGACAAGTTCACTTCGGGGCTCGATTGCGTTAAGATCACCTCGGTTACCAGACACCTCGACATTCGTAATAGGTCGGACCCAGAGGGCATCAGTTCGGGTAGTATTGACCGACCTCTACATGATAACCCCAAAGATCTCATAATCGGATTCCGTGTTCCACGAGATCACACCTTGTAACAATTGGCCTTATCTCCTCCAACCGATTCGGACAGCAACGATATGCCTTATCGGCTAGCGACGTTATCTCCTATTAATTCGGTGATAGGCCACATTACGTCGAGAATCCCGAAACCACTCCAAAAAACCCGCGAGGACTCCAATATATAAAGACCCCAACCCTTCGGGGGCAGAGGTACGCACAATTACTGCTTACTAGCTCTCTTGCTCTCTAATTACTTTCAGCTCGCACACTTAAGCATCGGAGTGACCTCGCCGGCTAAGCACCCCAGGGTTCTCTGATCCTTTCTGTGTAGACTCTCCACGTCCGTCGTCAACTGGAAGCCAAGCCACCTCCAGCTAGGAGCAGCTGGATTGCGCAACATCAATTGGCGTCATCTGTTGGAACTGTTTCAAAAAGCCTTTTCCACCAAGCATCCTAAACTCATTTTCAATGGCATCTTCCAGCAACGCCGAACAAAACGTTGATATGAACACCTTCGGGGGGCAACTTCAAGTCCTAACCGTTTGTATCGGACAGTTTACCGTGCCTCTCTCTACGGACGGGATCCCCACACTCAATATGCCTCAGGTCCTTGCACCAGTGAATGCCCCACTCCCCTCAACGGTGGGTGCAACCTTCGCCGAATCATCTATCATCCCCGGCGGTCGGACAGAATCAATTGGATGACCTGATGCACTGCATGTGGGCTATGCAGGCCCAAATGCAACAGGTCCAACAATTTCAACTGTATCAACAACAAGTCCTACACCACGTCTATCAGCAGCAGTACCAACAGCAGTTTCCCCCACTATCGCAGAATCAACAGACCCAGTAGCCGGTTCCACCTCAGCACCCGACCATACAGCAAGTCAAGCCTCGCCGCCAGAGCGAGCGACCTCCTCACTGGGGAGAGACCTCCCAAGCCCAAAACCCCCTCGGAAGCTAGGCCTTGTCCCGCGGCAGGAGGGAAAGACAGGTTACTCCTCCCGCCTCCCAACAGGTGAACAGGTCGGGAGATACCCAACCGGCCAGGGCCGTATCACCTCGGCCCTCCCAGTTTGAAGTACCGCTCGTGGAGAACCGATTTGGGCTTCTGGCCGTGGATTCCAGACCAGGCCCCTCAGTTCACAACAACCACCGCCAACAGTCTGAGCAGCTCCCCGTAAGAACCGTGCTTGATAACACTGAAGCCAGTAGCACTAACGCGGAGCCAGTGAAGAAGCAACAGAAGCGGCGTCTCAAGGCTCGCCAAGCTGTAGCCCAAAGCCAGCCCGACCAGCCCAAGGGAAAGGAAGAAGCGAGCTCGGGAACAGTGAAGACTGCCCCACTCCTCTCTGTACCATCTCCCCTATCTCCTGAGCTCTTGGCAGTTTTAATGCCCAAGGACTTCAAGGTACCTCCCCTGGACAAGTACGACAGGTCGTTCAATCCGAATGACCACATAGATTCATTTCAATCACAGATGCACCTAGCTAGTGCGGATGAACCTTGTATGTGTGTGGCTTTCTCCACCACCTTTAAAGGGGTAGCTCGCACATGGTATAGCGCCCAGGACAATCAAGAGTTGGGTGCAGTTCATGCAGATTTTCATCTCGCACTTCATTACAAGCAAGAGGTGTTCGAGGTCCCAGGAAAGCCTTCTCGGCATAGTCCAGAGGGAGGGGGAATCTATCTGGAGCTACATCAAGAGATTCAACGATGCATGCTTACAGATTCCCAATTTAGACCCCGCAGTAAGACTCACAGCAGTCAAAAGAGGTATCACCCACAAAGAATTCAAGTGGCACGTGGTCGCCAACAAACCTAAAGACGTTACTGAGTTCCTCAAGCTTGCTGACTAGTTCATCAGAACAGAGGAAGAGATGAACCAGAAGAGCGAGAACCCACCAGAGAAGAGGAAAAGAGAAGGTGAGGCCTCAACAAACGGGGGCAACAAGAGGAAGAAGGATGAGCCATCTCGAGGAGGAGGAAAACCGGATCAGTCTTTCCGAGCTCCTCCAGTTGAAAGAACAAATTGCACGCCCTTGAACGTGAAACGAGCAGAAATCCTCATGGTGATCAAGGACGCTTCTTACGTGAAGTGGCCACCTCAGATGAGAGGGGATCCAAACACCCGAAACAAAAATGTATATTGCCACTTTCATAGAGATCATGGTCATAGCACCGAAAATTGTAAGAACCTTCGCGATGAGATAGAAGAGCTCATCTGTCGCGAATATTTGAAAAATTTTGTACTGAATGATAATAAAAACCAAACAGGTCGGCAAAGGGAGCAAGGTAGAGATGCTTTCGAGTCCAGTAATAGATAGAACGAGTAGCCATAGAGACAGTTGCCCGAAGAGAGGCCGGTTCGAGGGGTAATACACATGATCACTG